TATATATATATATATATATATAAAAGGAATCTTAAATTCCCACCGACGAACAACGACTGTCCACTCAAACTTCACCTGCTCCTCAATTGTCAATCTGCCGTCCACCACTCCACCAGCAGCAATAACATCTCCCGTTATTTTTTGGGTGCATAATAACATCTTTCATTAATCATTATAGCTCTCTTTTATTTATGTTTTCAATTTATTGGTCCATGCTCGAGTTTCCAAGGCTAACATCAGAAAATATTGATTTTTATCCATACCCCTACAAAACAGCACAGTTTTAATGACGAACTCAAGACGTGGTATCCTCCTCTCTTAACATTACATTCATAGCCTAATTCCAGTTCCAGCAACATACAATCTCACTCCTTTTTATCACCATCTCACCCTGCTGATGAAGGGCAAATAAATGTAATGCAAGTGATCATCACATCATATGGCATTTGAAGTTTAAACGACTAGTGATTAGTGAAAACAAATTTGACGCCTGTCATGCTAAGTAGCATCAAGAAGATAAAGGTGACATGTAAAACATGAAATATTAAAGTAATTCATGATAATAGTACGATGGAATAAAAACAGAGTTGGTGTGGTCATTTATTTTTGTGCAACTACTGCAACCAATACAAAATCAGAACATGCACCGCTGAGATGCTCAATCCTGCTCTTCTGGCTTCTTTGCAGTGCCTTTAAGATACCACCCCAAAGCCCCAAGAATTGTTACTGTACCAGCTACAACTGCATAATTCCGGTACTTGTCAGTTGAAACTCTGTCAGCTGATGTTCCAGTATGTCCTGAGCCACTTGGTTTGGCATCAGTTACTGAAGCCCCCGACCCTGCTGCTTCTGGTTGAGGACCCTAAATTAGAGTATACAGTTACCATTAAGTTCAAAACACGACATTGATAGACAAACAACTGCATACACAACCGGAGAACAATTTCTTGCACACAAGTAACAGACACGCAAAGTGACAGGATATCAAGTAAAATCAACATTTAGTGTTAATTTGTTCATTGGTTAGAGTCATGAGCGGGATAAAAAGTGCAGATTTTCATTTTAACGTTTAAAAGTATCTAACTCAAAAGTTAGTTGAAAAGGAAAAGGTGCATAAAACTGCAAGAGCAATACTAAAGCAAAAGGGTTATGTAAATGAATAATGATAATACTTGAGAGGAACCGGCCTCACCTAGAGTATAAGATTTTGTTGTTGTTAATATACATGTTTTTCTTTCACATTTTTTAAAGTTAATTTCTTCCAATAAATTATTTGTCAACAAGCGCATTTTTCATGATTCCATTTTACCAAACACCAATTGCTGAAAACTGTGTCATTTAACTCACCCATAAATATCATTTAATTGGTGATTCATGTAATCTGCATAATGATGAAAGCATACTTTGGCACTGGCAAATAGTAATCAAGTTCCATAACCATAGTGGTATGTGTTAGGACTTCTAAGCATGTGTTTCTGAGGATACAGACACATACTGCTATGGTTATGGAACTTGATTACTATTTGTCAGTATGTGTTTCTGAAGATACAGATAGAAGATTAATTATGGAATTGATTATAAAATGTTGCAAGATAGTCAGCAAACATTTTGACTATCATATCTTTCTGAGAAATGGTGTGCCAAATGAGATGGTGAATTATAAACTTGTTATATTGGGTGGGCTAATTAACTCGGTATGTTGACAGTATTTCTTTATGAGTGTTTCACATGCAGCCAAAGATATTGTAATCAGTGTATACAAAATACTCTTCATACTAAGATGTGATAAATTATACTGAATCAATTATAGACAAAATTGAAATATCCAAATAAAGGGGTGGGGTGGTGAATCTTTCTATTTTATAAAAAACGTTTTCTAGACCAATTATAAGTTTCCTCATAGGTTACACTAAATAACAGCTTAACATTTGAATTTAAAAATAATAAATAGGTTGGGCATGTACGATGTTGATTCACTTGATTGTCTTTGGTATTTTAGAGTTTTTTTTGGGTGTGTGTAATGATCCTAATGGATTTTAAATGGGTAAACAAGTCAATCCTAGATCATTGGACAAACCAAATCCATAATGCATCCAATCCATTCGTTTACCACAATATAAAACCGGTAAGAATCCTTTATCAAAAAAAAAAATGCAGAATGGTTTGATGATCCAATGATTTAAATAATTTCAAGAAGTTTATCATATATTGTACTGAAATCATAAAAAGATTATAAAGAATAAGAGAGTATAATTCAAGGGCATACCTTGCGAGCAAGCTTCTCCAACTTCTCTTGCTCAGCTTTCTGCAATATGAAAAATAAGTAAACACACAACACAACATATATATTTTTGTCAAGCACAAACCTCTACTGATGTAGACAAACACTAAAAACAAAAGGTAGCACCTTTCATACGGAAATTGAGTGGATTGACAAGAGATATGGATTTATACCTTTAAATTTTTACCAACAGTAATCTATTTTCCAGCCAAGTGGTAGACTAAAATTTAAGATTAACTAAGCACAAAAATGAACAAATAATCGTTTCCTTCTGTTAGAAGTTAGAACCTAAGGCAATACAAATGATCCTAATCCAGACAATTTCAATAGATTAGTCAAAGCCAAAAGAAAATTATTTAAAACAAATTACAAATTCCAATGCACTTAAGAAAATGCCAATTTGATGTTCCTCAACATGTGCAGAGGATGCATAAAATTGCCTGTACTAACATATCTGAACATCACATTTCTTTATTAACAATGCATGCTAGAGGCAAATTTTCCTGAGCACTTTTTTTAACATAGATTCTAAAACTGTTTCAGAAACATATAGTGTCTGCATAAAACTCACCTATTTGCTATTCAGCAACTATCCCAAAAGCTTTTGTTGAGTGAAAGCTCATAAATAGTTTCAAAACACATATCCACTATCCAGTCACACAGGTTAGCCCAACCTTGTGCAGAGATTTAATCACTTACTCATCAAGGCTCTGATTCCATATCATGAACCAATCATTCTAAAACATTAAGCCGTTGAGCAAAAACACAAATGATTTTATATCCAACAACTGATACCATACCAAGACTCTGTTTAGATAAACGTCTCTATAAGTACTTACCAAGGCCCTGTCTAGAAACCTTGAAAAGCTGATATTACACAAGCTATTTAGCTATTTTTAGCTTATAGAAAAAGTTTATTTCATTTTTACTTCTTATAGTGGTGCCTATTTATCCAAACAGGACCCAAAACTAATAATAGCTCAATCCACACTTCATACAGAACTTCTGAACCCTAGAACACCCTAATTATACAACAATACTCGTATCCCTAAACATAAAGAAATGCCTGAAACAACAACAACAACTACACCGCACTCAAGAAAACTGCGAAGGAAATTACCAAGGACAAACTTGTGAACTCGCGAAGGTGCTCCAACAGAATAACATTACACCAAAATTTTCAATCCACAGCACAATAAAACTAAGCTTTCGAGGCTACCTTAAAGTAAGCATTCTCTGCAGCTTTTTCCTCCTCGCTGAGTATTTTTCCAGAGCCACTGCTAAACAGCCTTCTAGATCCGTACCTTGCAGCCACCCGTGTAGCCATTGCAGTTGCTTCTATTTCCTTCCCTTCTATAAACAATATAACGAATCATAAGGTTGAGTGGTTGACTTTAAATTAATTAAGAACAGTTCCAGTTAAAATCAGGATTCAATCACAAACATTTCACCAAAAGGCCTAAAGTGCTATACAAATCTCATCGAGTTTTCCAACAAAGGACGCAACAGTAATTAAATACGAGAAATGAAAGTCTCTCGTTTTCGTCGATTGGTTCAGTGAACGAGTGACGCGAAAACGCGATTGTAGCTTCACGCATTGCATTGTTTAGAAAATTCTTAGACGCAGATTCGCGAGTGCTACGAAATCCGATCCAAATATTAGTTGAAAGAGTTTTTATATTGAGAATAATAGTAATATAGAGAAATGAATAGCGATAATTACCAGAGAGGGTTCGGTGGAGAACGAAGTGAGGGTTCCGACGAAGCAGAAGAAATGTGTGAGTGTGAATGAGTCGTGTTTCTTGTTGCCTTGTTGGTGAGGCGCTTAAGGCCTTTCCCTCGAGGTTGAGGGTTTAAATACGGCACCGTTTGGAACTACTCTTCTGGAATGTGGACCAACTTATTCTGCCCGTGCGCTTAGTTGCATTCGTATATGAGTTAATCACCTATATAATATTTTTTAACATGTAATCAATCATTATTTTTATTAAAATTATTTGATTAAAAAAAATTTATAAAAAAAAAAGGTAATATCACTTTTTAGTATTTACAATTTGTTTTCTAATTTTATTTTTAAATTAAGTATTATAAAAATGCTGTATATAATTATTAAAAATATATATTAATTAATTAATTAAAATAAACTGTTAGTTTCAAAAGTACGAAATGCCTGTTTTTTCTTCTGCAAATATATATATACATATATAAAATAATATAAATATTCTTAATGAAAATATAAAAATAAGGATACGGTCATGTTTTCATGTCATAATCCATCTTTCATTTTCCATTTTGAAAAGATCATAAAATATGTGGACGCTACATTTGTTTTAATATTTCTTTTCATACTAAAATGAAACCAAACTGCGGAAAGAAAACATATTTTGATTTTACTTTTGTCTGTGACTCTGTGTGATTTTCGTCTTTTAGCTTCTCTAAAACATATCTTTATAGTGTGTTTGGATGAGGAATTTTATAAATTTATAGAATTTTAAATTCTTGGTATTTGAATTACTTGGCTAAACGATCATTATAGTGTAGTTTTACAAACAAAATACCAAAATGGGGCTGTTTTGAAACATTTTACACCTTTGGGGCTCTTTAATTGGGTGTCGCTATGGCCCATAGCGACACCTATGACACGTGGCAATTTTGAGTGTGCTTCTAAGCCATGAACGCCATATTAAAGGAGGCGCTGTAGCTGGTGGCGACCCTCAGAAGTCGCTATAGGCTACAGCGACTTCACTTGGCTACCCCATTTATATAATAAATTTTTAAAAATAGAAAATTTTATGTGAAGAAAAAGGAATAAAAATAACTTAATGTAATATATAAGAAAAAAAATTAAAAATGAACAAATATTATGTGAATAAAAAATTAAAAATGAAAAAAAAAATCAAAATATGAGGCGTTGTGGCTCCAAGCGGCACAAAGGCACTATGAGTCACAGCGCATTTTTTAACTTCTGCGAAATTTATTAATCGTGGAACTTCACAGATAGACAAGGCGTACCCTCGTGATTTCATGCAAAGAGGGCGCCTGAGGGTGTTGCTGAAAAAGGAGGATGGGACTCTGTTTAATTCCTCCATTTCATCAAGTAAGATGTTATTGTCTGTCAAATTAGATTTATACGTTTATTTTTTGTATATACACCTGAATCGATGTTTTACTTGGATAGGAATGTAGTCAATGTACAGTTGTTAGTGTCTTGATTGCCAGATTAGGTGTTTCTTGCTGAGGATAGGAATGTTTTTGTTGTTGAAGCCTAGCTAGAAGGTTTCTGTAATGTACGATTGAAAATGATTACTTTTAGAAACAAGATTGAAGGCTTATCAAAGAATTTTTCTGAAATTTCAAGAAGTGCAAAGGTAGAACATGAATTCTTGAAAGAAGAAATTCAAGAAGTGTATTCAAGAGTGAAAGATCAATATCTACATAAAATTAGGTGATATCCTTTTTATATTTAAGCTTGTATTTTCATTTTGATTGGTGTATCTCTTAAGATAAAGTGTCTAAACAAGAGATGTTGAAATCTTGAGTAGGGTTTCTCAAGTAATTTCTGTAAGGTGCAAAAGTTTTGGCTGTTTTCAATCTTGTGGTGTCAAGATTGTGTTAAGCTAGACGAGGACGAAAACAATTCCTAGCAAGGTTTTTTGTTAGACAAATATAATGTGTATTATTATTTCTAACAAGTGTGTTAGTGTTTCAAATAAAGACACGAGTACAGGCAAACTGAAGAATAAATAATATACATGTATTACTGTCTACACCAAAATCAAGAGATATGAGCTAAGCAATGGATAAAGGTTGATCAAATGAAGGGAATACATCAGACGAAGACACCCACAAAAGAAATAAAGAACAGGAAACGAGCAAACAAGATGAAGGGAAAAGCTAACAAGATGTCAGATGAGGAGATCCAACGAAATCAAACCCAGCACAAGAATAATGAAGCCTCAGATAATACAAGATCATGGATGATGACAAGCTGACCAGATGGAGACTCAAATGCACAGACGAAACCTAAGAAGGTTAGATTGCGTCTAAAGACACAACGAGACAAACTACCTAGAATCCGTACTCTCAGAAGAACACATGAAGACATCAAAATAGGAGAAGAAAGAAAAGAAAAATGGATGAGTGCCTATCCACAAATCAAAACTGTGTGTGTCAGAGCAAGTACACCTACCAGTCAACAAAGGACAACGCCTTTGTAGATACAATACCAGGAAAGTATAGAGATATCTAGGTCATGATTAATGCCAGATATAGAAGCAAACAAACGGTACAAAAAGACTCCATGAAACACAGATTCAGCAAGAAAACTTTTAATGTAAGATTAGATGCATTAAATGCAAGAATCCACGAAGCCTGTGCAAACTAAACAAGAGAATCAGTTGATGGTTAGTCAAGCATCAAAACGAGGTTTGCTCACGGATGGAAGAACACTCAACAAACATCAGATGAGGACTACTACTAGAAAGAGACATTGAAGTATCAGAAGAAAAGCCAAAGCAAGATCAAACCTGGAATAAGGAAAGCAGTGTCGAACATTAGAAGAAGTCAGATAGATGTATGTCAAGAACAACCTCCAGTACAACGTGAAGAAATGGACCAAGTGTGAGACAAAGATAAGAAGAAAGTCAACCTTGCATCAGATGAAGGACAACATAGACTGAGAGACACTCTAGACGGATACAATGACTGTCTACACACACTGTTGACCAGATCAAAGAAAAATCAAAAACATTAAACTCAGACGTTGAGACGAAAGTCAAGATTGAAGTGCACATAACCAACAGACAAAGATGGAGACTGCCAAGCAAGCAATTAAAGAATTACATCTCGAGAAACAAGCCAATACATCGTCTATGACTACACAAAAGCTTTTAACGTAGAATGCATGATCCAAAGGAACAAAAAAGAAGAGAAGCACGCAAAAGCATAGCATACATGTGTCAGAAAAAGTGCATTACTTTTTTAGAAAAGGATAACGGCTATATTGTTGCATGAGCAGAAAAAGACAAATAATTCCTAGGTCTCAGATAAAGTCAAACATTGTTGGCAACAAGACAGAGAACAATACACACAATGTCTAAAAATAGGAAGCAACATTTAATAGATCGGAAATAAATGAATTACTCTATATAAATTTCTCATCCAAACACACTATTAAGGAAATGTGTGGTGGTACACATTATATTTTTAGTTTCTTTGAAATTTGATGTTGTGAGTGCTAGGGTATGTTGGAGTAGTTTTTAGTTTTGAAATTTTTTTAACCTACATTTTTTTTTTCTTCTTCTAACTTTTAATTTAAAATGGAACTCATCTGGAAAAAAATTTATCCCATTAAAATTAGTTTAAGATAGTACATTTGAATGGTAGTCACGATATTACCAGATAATTTCTGCATACAAAAATTCATATATATTGGTTCACTTTTCAACGAGAGTTAAATCAAGTCCCTCAAATATGAATATATTTTTACTATAACTTCACCTATTTACAATTAAGTATTTAATGTCTCTTTAAACTACAAGAGTTTGATTTTATCTTAAATATCACAACCCAAGTATTTTTTGTAGCCTTTTTATGCTCTACATTTCATAATTCTACATGAGATTACTTAATTTTACACAAATATAAAAGAAATACTCACTAAATTAAACTTAAAATTTAACTACTTAAGCATAAAACAATAAAACCCTTGTTAAGAATAAATTGACAAGTTTACAAATATATACAAAATACTGTCCAACGAATATTTAAGAAGATTCTTTGTTAGATGAAGAAAGTTTTATTACATTTATAATTCTTCTAACTTTTTTGAGTCTTCATTTTATAGATAGTAATGAAAAATCCATTTAGAGGAATATTCTTCAAGTTTGAAATCTAATAGATACATGGTTGAATCTCCACAAAAAATTTTAGAGTAAAGAATTTCACACAACCTAAGTGATATTTCTAGTATCTGCTATGACATTAACAAAGGTTTGAAAACCGCGAATATGGTGTGTTTTTAAGAGCAACTCTAATGGGAGTTGCTTGTCTCATGAAGCAACTCAAATCACAGTTTCTTGTCATTGGAGGACTCTGACGTGGCAACATGAGTTGCTTGAAGAAGAAAGAGAATTGCTTCCTCAAGTAACAATTCCTTATCAGATTTCAAGCAGACTTTATTGGACATATTTGAGAACGTTTCGGAAATAATAATGATGAAAATTAATTTCATATAATGTTTATGTATTTATTATTGCTTTATTTTATTTTTAATATATACTTATTGTGTATTTTTTTATAATTTATTTATTTTTTCATTGTGATGCAATTATCTTTTTTAATATTAAATGTGAAGATAAGTTTGAAAATTTAAAAATAATAATTAATTATAAACTCAAAACATTACTGTAAACTTACAAAATAGGCTTATTAACTTATTAAATATCTTATTTAATGAAATAAACTTATAGACTAATTAAGCTAAAAATTAACTAAAAAAACACATTAATTTCATCATGTATCAAATTTTCACACTACATTCTTATAAAACAACTTACACAAAACATGTTTTTATTGGTAACTGCGGAATGAGTATAAAGCAATTCTGTTTAGTTACATAGGGAAACTGTAACAAAAGCAATAGAAAGAAATAAAAGAATGTAATTATAAAAAGAGACATAATTTAATGTGGCACCATTACTGTGACCATGGTGGTGATTATTATTTGCCTGATGAGCAGAACCTGCTGCAGCAGCGCCATATAAAGGGATTGATCCTCCATGCATTCCCATGCTGTTTTCATGGCCAGCTCCTCCATGACTTCCACCACCACCGCCGTGACCTCCACCACCGCCATGGCCTCCACCTCCACCACCGCCACGCCTATTAACTGATACTACAATTTCTGTTGAATTTATTGTGGACATTGTCTTTGCCCTGTCTGCAACTAATATGAAGCTAATTTTCATTCATTATTTACTATAGTTTTCCATACCTTATCACATAGTTATATGTTAACACATCATTGCATGGATTTTATTCTTTAAGTAATTATATTGTAATCATTTTTTTTAATAATATAGCATTATTACATAATTGAATCATGATAATTATATACACATGTACTGATGTACACAACTTTCTCTTCCTCCGTTTACTTATATATATATATATATATTTATTTATTTTAAAATCAAGAAAAAAAAAATGCTAAAGAACTTAAAATAATTTGTCATGCGTGAAACCTACAACTATCGTAAAATTAATTGGGTGTCTTAAAAATATTTTGAAAGGCTAAATAAGAGTTTCGATGTAAAATTATTATAATAATAAAGTGAGTAACATGAGAATTATTATAATAATGAAATGAATAACAAGAAATTAAAAAATTTACACTTGCGAATCAGCTAACTAGCTAGCTCCACCATCCTATAAGAAGAAGACTCTAAAAAATAACTATCAAATAATAAGTCGGCAAATAATATGATGATATCATATCATTGCACGGTAGAATTTAATTTTACTAAAAACTAAAATATGGTTGCTTTGTTTTCAAGTTGAGAATAATATGTGTCATCCACACCCAAAAGAATAAAAGAAAAAAAGGTAAGCATCATGTGTTGCTTGCATGCAGTTGCATAGGGGAATGTCTGCTAACGCAGAAATATGCAGAACTCTTTCACCTTTCCTTTTGCTTATTTTTTCTTCTTCTACCAAACAGAAAAATCATGTAACTTGAAAATTGATAAATATTTTTTTTATAAATAAAATTAGAATTTATTTGCCTTCTAGGTATTTTTTTTATAACCATAATCTAGATATGAAATATTTACATGTTTTCCCGAAAATTAATCCATATTAAAAAATTTGATTCATTATTTTTAGTAGAGTTTCCTCTTCATGTTTTTCTCATACATGAAATTTAAACTCAAATTTTTATTTAAAAAGACTAAATTTAGTATCCCTTGTATCAACCACTTGTTAGTATTTACCTCTGACCACAAGTTTAGATTCTTGCACACAATTGCATCCATGGAAACAGAAACCTAATTGGAAGATCTAAAAGTGAAATGTAAACTAAGAATTTATCTTCTGGTGTTTGATAAAATGTGAATTATATACTTTATAATAAATAAAATAAGCAGTATACCTACTGGAGTTTAGAAATAACAATTATGAACAATAGAATTAGAATATATATATAAACCTGTATGTGAGGAGTTTCTTTGGTGTTCTGAATTGACCGGAAGAAGATGATGATGAAACAGCAGCAAAACGTAGAGTAACATGACATGCTTCCAGATGGGTTCCATTACAAAATACAAAACGATAAATTCCTTTCAATATTTAATGGATTTTGATATATATGCACTAGCTTCTATTTATAATACTTTTCATAGTACCTGTAACTTCGGTTCCCAATTCTTTTCTTTAAACCCAAACAACTTAATTATAACACACTTCTTAAAAAACACTAAAATCCTTCCTTTTTCCAGAATTTTCTTCTGAAAATGTAGAATATATTGTTAAAAAAACTTCTCTTCTTTTCTTTACCCACAACAATGAGAGAATACACAATAAAAGAAATAAGGTAAAATTACACAATAATTTATTTAATGTGAATTAATTTTTTATACTTACATTCATAACATAAGGATATTCATTATTTTAAAAAGTATTATATGTATATTTATTAAAATTTTCTTTCAAGTTTTGTGGATGAAATTTGAAAACTCTCCTTAGAAGTTTTATGAGTAAAACTTTGAAACTTCTTAATACAATATCATTGTAAATATAAAATATATTATTTCTTTTTCGGTAGAAATCTGTTTCGATAAAAATCTCTTTGTGCCACCTAAAATAATGAGATTGTAATCAAATCCTGTAGTAATCAGTTGTATCATGATTATAGGGGAAACTATAGGAATCTATTTAGCATAATTATAGGAACAATGAGATGTACATATATGTAATCATATTGGCTGAATAAACCGAGCAGATTACCATCACAATTTCTTCACTTCTCAACAAGTTTTATGCGTAAAACTTGAAAATCCCTCCCTTACAATTTTTTTACGAAACTTAGAAGTCCTTCTTTATATGACTTCTCTCATTTAAGGTGGTAACCTTCCGTACAAGTTAGATAATTCTTTTTATCTCAATAATCTCTCTATTTATTGACCTAGCATCTTATTTATAAAATAAAAAAAAAGCAAATTTATAAAATAAATATAATATTTTTAATTTTAAACAATATTCTAAAGATAAATAGTATATTTTTATATCTCAACAATATCATAGAGATTTGAAATTGAAATTAAATTTGAATTGTTTTTATTCCAATAATTCCTCCCTGAATTAAAAATTTTAAACTTGATATTTCTTTTGTTCTCATGATACTCGTCACAATCATCTTCACTCATACTTTTGTTTTGTAGTACTTTTTTATCTGGGCAATCTTCAATACTTAAGTGACATGTCATCTGTTTGCACAAACCATGAGCTCTAATACGACTGTTGGAAAAAAAAAACTTCTCTTCTTTTCTTTATGCACAACAATGAAAGAATATACAAACATTATAAAAGAAATAAGATAAGATTACACAATAATTTATTTAATATGGTTCGACTTTTCATGCTTACGTCTATAAAAATATTTATTACCTCAAAAAATATTATATGTATGTTTATGAAAATCTTTCCTTCAAGTTTTATGAATGAAACTTGAAAATCTTTCTCAAGTTTTATGAGTGAAACTTAGAAAGTTTTCCCCAAGTTTCATGAGTGAAAATTAGAAACATTTCCCTCACAATGTTTCTTCTTTCATATGATTCATTTCTTATTTAAGGTAATAATTCCCTCTACAAATCAGATAATTCTTTTATTTTAAGAACTTTTATTTATTGACTTAACATTCTAATCTTAAAAAAGGAAACAAATTTTTAAAAGAAATACAATACTTTTAATTCTAAATAATATCTTAAATATAAATAATAATTTTTTATATCTCGGCCATATCTTAGAAATTTAAAATTTGAATCATCTTTATTTTAACATATATAAATATAGACTTTTGAAGATTAAAGAAGAAAAATCTCACATGCTTTGCGGTTAATTGTGTATTTGAAATTTATTATCTATTATCTATTATTATATTTTTTATCTTATAAAAAAGGTTATGCCATATAAATAAATGTCACGTTATTTTTTATTAGCCAAAAATATATTTTATTAATAAATACATTAGTGATACCCAATCAAATAAAAAAAAGTCTAAAATACAATCATATTCTCATGTAGATACTGCATATTAAATGTTATGTCCATTTAATAACTAGTAACCACTTTTTGTACATGTATTCACAAAAAAAAAAATTATGTTAATTATTCCTATTTATCCATCAATTCCATACTTCACCTATACTTCTATTATCCATGAATCAGTATATTATGATCACCATCTATAACTATTATGACCTATTTTTAATCCAACCATACCTTTACAAAATAATAATGTTCCAATAAGCAATCAAATTCTCATACTAATACAAGCTCTTAAATTTACAATCCATTGTCCAAAAAAAGAGTACCAAAAATTGTTAGATAATTCATACAACCAAGATCATGAATTAAAAAGAAAACTTTCACAGAAATTGTTTTTTTTTTTTTAACTATTCAACCATTAAATATACATTCATTTCTCACTTTTCAAATACTCCACACCAAAGCACACCATACAATCTAGCACCTATTCATTTTTTTTTTCTACCTAAATTTCAATGACTTTTTATTCTATTTTTTAATTCATGAAACATAAAAACTATCTATACTGAATTCAAAACTGAACTATACTAGATAAACAAAAAATTAAACTTATCCAAAAATGAATTCAACTAAATAATAAAAACTAAATCGTTTTGAGAAAATAATTCAATTGTCGTCCATTTCAACCCGTTGAAGTTAATTTTCACACCCAACAAATATGCTCGTATAATCTTGGCTAAAAACCTATTTTGGTCCCTTATAATAATTGTTTGTTTCAATTTAGTCCCACTTTTATTTTTGGTTTCAATTTGGTCCCAAACTAATTAATTGGTTTCAATTAGGTCCCTAATAAATTAATTGGTTTCAATGTAGGACTTTCGTCCAAATTTCTTTAACGGTATTAACTGTTGGCCACGTGGATGCCACATAGATGCATAGGTAGATGCCACGTGAATGACACGTGAATGCCAATTTTTTGAAAATACCTGGAACCAGAACGGCCCGTTCTGAAACCAGAACGGCCCGTTCTGAAACCAGAACGGCCCGTTCTGGATTCAGAACAAAACTGAGAATAGAATATTATTTATTAATTTTATTAAAAAAAATCAATAATTTTGAAAAATATTTTTTTATGGTAAAAATTTTAAAATTACTTATTTTTATAAAATACAATTGTCTTATAAATAGAGTAATAACTTTTTCTTTTTCTCTTTCTATCTGAAGAAATATTTAAGTGTCACTTTATAATTTTTTGTAACTTATTTAAAATTAGAGGAATAAAATGATAAAAATTAATAGGATAAACATAATAAAATTATTAATTTATTTTCTTTTAGTGTCTTCTAAATTTTTACATTCATTTAAAATAAAAATATTTTATATGTTAATTTGAATTAATTTAACGAAGTATCATATGATTTTTAATTTTTTAAAATTTTTTATAAATTTGATCTATACATGAAAAACTTTTTAATTTAACAATTAAATTCTTAAAAATTTGATATAGAACATTAATTATTAAATAGAATAAATCTATCAAGACTTACTCTTGAAGTAAGTAAATTTTTTCTTCATTAAAAATGAAGATAATTTTACCACAAAATAAAAAATAATTAAACAATAAAATAAAATATAAAAAAATATTAATATATTTATTATATTAGATATAACAACATAATTAAAATATAATTAATAATATATATTTTATAAAATTGTTAATATTTTATATATAAAAAAAAAAAAGAATGAAAAAAATTTTAGTGGGGGCAAGTGCCCTCACTATGATTAACTTAGATCTGTCCCCGCATATGGTTGTTTGGTGAAATGTTAGTCCTGTGTATCATCTTCCTTTACTTTAGGTTCTACCTCTTCAAGAACAGGTTGTTGTTGGGGTACATCGTTAATGACTTCAAGGAAAAATACCATATCATTTCATCCTTTACTGGTTTCAATTAGGTCCCTAATAAATTAATTGGTTTCAACGTGGGACTTCCGTCCAAATTTCTTTAACGGTGTTAACTGTTGGCCACGTGGATACCACGTAGATGACACGTAGATGCCAATTTTTTGAAAATACCTAGAACCAGAACGGCCCGTTCTGAAACCAGAACGGCCCGTTCTGGTTGCACTTTTAGTGTGTTAATTTTGCAACTGGAACGGGCCGTTCCGGATGCAAAATTAACACATCAAAAGTTCAACAAGAACGAGCGGTTCTGGTTTCAGAACGGGTCGTTCTGGTTCCAGTTGTTTTCAAAAAAATTTGGCATCCACGTGGCATCCACCTATGCATCTACGTGGCATCCACGTGACGAACAGTTAACTCCGTTTAAATAATTTGGACGGAAGTCCCACATTGAAACTAATTAATTTATTAGGGACCAAATTGAAACCAAAAATAAAAATGAGACTAAATTAAAACAAACAATTATTATAAGGGACCAAAATAGGTTTTTAGCCTATAATCTTTTAGTAATGTGGGTATGGGTCGGGTCTCGGGTCGTTGGTTACCCATATTATGTCCTAATTGTCGAATTCGGAAGGATGTGTAATTTTATCATTTTCTTTATCATTTGATGTTTGCAAATTAAGCACATTCTTCTTATAAGAACAGAGAACGTTAAAACCAAGTACCTGATAACAAATTTGGACAAAAGTGCCCCAAGTTAGGTAGATTGAATATAAAAAAAAAATGAGAGAAATAAGGGGAAAAATATAGACAAAAAATATAGTGTAACAAAAAAGAAAAAGAAAATAAAAATATGTTTATACGAGTTGGACAAATATAGTGTCTTTCAATCACATAATTAATATTTGTGGATTTTGCTTTCTTTCTAACGGCATTAATGAAGATAGAAGGTAAAGTAGGGGGAAAAATAGTTAAGAACTGTCCATATAGACGTTGTTACGTCTTCATATATCTCTGACCACATTTTTTTTATTTAAATTAATTTAATTAGTATTTGGAACATTGTAAATTCTTTTCTCACTTATCTCGTATAATAGTCATTGATAACGTAGTCAAGGGACGTTTCAAAACAAATATATTGTTGTGTTGTATACAACGTCCTCATTTTTTCTATCAGATTTTTGGCATGCATTCAAAGTATTTTTCAATTTACAAAGAGATCCATGA